CCCCAAAACCCCAAAACCCCAAAACCCCTCTATTTTATGAAAATTTTAAGATTTCAAATAAATTATTAAACTTCTAAAATAAATTCAATGGCGAGTGTGAAAGATCAGGGTCAGTATTAACTATGAAATTCACCAAACTTTTACAAAATGCAATGTATTTCGTACCTATATTAAAAAAACTTTTAAAATATGTTTAAAAATTCCAAATTACACAAATCTAACCCAAAATCTAGGTTCAAAGGGAAACTTTGATCCTACAAAGCATATACCTCCTTGCTATGATATCAGAGGGCATATAAAACCTCCAAAAGATGCTGTGGTGGCTGATACATTCACTAATGGGCTTAACTCAACAGATGTGAAGATACCTTCATCCTGGAATGGCTCTCAGCCAGGAAAGACTAGGACAACTCTCAAACAAGTTCATAAAGAGAGCCTTGTACCTCATCCCAGTTATGACATTGATGGTGACGGTATGGTTGGTGAGAGAGATCTCCTAATCTCAAAAATGTTCGATTCTAATAAAGACGGAATCCTTGATGCCCAAGAGAAAGAAAATGCTATGAATAACCTCCAGAAATACACTAAAAACTTAAGAAGAACAAATGAAATGAAGGAGTGCTCTCTATGGGGCCTCAACAAACACACTAAGAACACTTATTACAGAGTTGGTCATAAGAAGAGACTTTGCTCGGATTTTGATGACCATAAGCATTACAAAACTCTACCTTGAACTGAGAAAGCAGTCTGTAATAAGACTATGACAGATTTGAAATTTAACAGAAAGAAGGCAGATAAGGCTAAATTGGAGAAATTGAAAGCTGAATGGGACCTTAGAAATCCTTCTGAGGAAACTAGACCTTACATTCGGAATGAATTCTTTGTGGACAAGCCTTCACATACTTCCATCATTCAGATAAAAAGCGAGAAGAAGAAAGAAATTAGGAAGAAAGCAGGATTAAAGGAAGAATCTGATTTCTTAGTCAGTGAGAAGCCTCCTCCAACTCTTTCATATGTAAAGAAGCCTCAAGCACCGGGGAAGAGCTACCTTCATGAACAGCGAAGACACCAGAATTTCACTGAGCTCAGAAATCTGGAGAAGAAGCAAGGCAATATCGAAACAGGCATTGACAGACTGATTAAAAAGGAAGAAGCTGTCTTTAGCCTTGGTCATGCAGATCACAGGAAAACAAAGGAAATGGTTGTTGAAAGAAGACGCAAGGAGATGCTAAACAATAACATGCGTGTGTTTGGTAATGTGGCTATTGGCATCCACGGCAAAGAACTTCCAAAATATCACAAGACTATGGCTGAATGGTGGGCGAATAAAAGAGGATTTAAAGACAAACCTCAAGAAAATTCCTTATTGAGATTCAAACAGAGTACAAAATATTGGGCAAAGGATGATAATATTCTTTTGTGAGATTTCTTACCAGATGAGCCTAAGATAGATGATTTCAAACAAACTCATGTAAAACAGAAGAGAAAGAACCAAGTTGCAGAAGGTCCTCACAAGATCAAAAGGCCATGCAAGAGAGAAAACTTTATCTTAAGGGATAAGACCCAAAAACCTATAAGAAAGTATAGATGGACTTCTGTGGAAGATCAGTTTGTTGAAAGAAATCATAAATTTGCTAAAGAAATTGATAAGACTCATGCTGAGAGGGGAGACTATGAACCTTTATATTCTTCATTCAATCCTAATGGGACTTTCCATCCTCCTCCTACTACATTTGATATGTTAAATAAGCAAAAAGAGTATAATCAAAAAGCTTGTGCTTCTGCAACAATGACCAATAAAAGTATGGGCTTAAGAGCTCATACGGCTGTTCCTCCTGAAGAGTCTCTAATTGGAACTGGGAATAATAGCATTAACCTGTTCACAAGAGCGACTACTGTAGATGCTCCTTCTATGACAGGAGGAGCCAACAGATCATTCAAAGCTTCTACTTTCAAGGGTATTCGATCAGGTGCTTTCAAGCAGTTCTAACAGAAACATTTAAATTAGAAATTAATTCTTCAAGTTTTGATTGATTTTTCGGGGTTTTGGGGTTTTGGGGTTTTGGGGTTTTGGGG